GGAGGATACTTAGGTAATACTGAGAGTCATGGCTCAGCCACATTGCCATAGTTTAGGGGAAACACAGTTCAATCCATAACAGGTCTTTTCCTTTGAAAAGCAGTTGACACATTAGAGTAATTGCCTCAGTGGGGGATGTGAAAGACAGGGCTCAGAGAGATTCAGCATTTCCACTGGACACAAGAATCAAACCTAGGCCTACCTACTTTCTAAGCCCATATGTGTCTCAGGATGCCCAGCATGTTCTTAGACAGTGCAGGGAGCACTTGAAGGTCCATACCTTCTCAGTCAGGTTCTACATCTCCGGGTTGAGGGACCCTAGGTGTCTGTTTTCTTCATCTCCCATCTGAGCTTTCAAACCACCTCCAGCCCTGGGTTCAGTTCCTCTCTCCATTTCCCTCACATTCCAGGAGGATGTTCAACTGCCTTCATTCCAGACTGAGGCCCAGGTGGTCTGCCAGTGAGGAAACTGATCTGGCCCCTCTCTACCCAAACATTGGGAGGCCTATGGGATGGAGCTACCTCCTAACCCCTGTCATCTTAAAACCAGGAAGGGACTGTAGAGATTCACAGGAATTCAGGCAGGAAGTCTTTGGCAAAGTTGGCGTGGCACTGTAGAATAAGGCACTGGACCACAAGGTCGGCTTAAAGTACAAGGTCAGCAGTTCAGACTCACCAGCTGCTCCTTGGAAACCCTATACAGGGTCGCTATGAATTGGAATCAACTCACCAGCACTTAACAACAACACAGGGAAGCTAGTGGAGGGCCATGGTGATGGGGAGGATTGTCTGATGAATTGAGGCCACATTTGCAGCTCATTAAGACCAGGGGCACACCCCTTGCCAAGAGGCCAAAATAATTGAATGGTGCTTCACTTCTACAACGACTCAACAGTTTGATCAAAGATTCTACAAAATAATCCTGCTCAAAAGAGAGAAAATGTAGAACAGAATTTCTGATTATCATGAAATCCAGGTTTTTCAGAGCCATGGAGACTGGTGGAACCCCTGAAACTATTGCCCTGAGATCATCTTTAAACCTTAAATCAAATCTCCCCTGAAGTCTTCTTAAAACCAAACAATAGTTTAGCTTAACTAGTAAAGAATGTCTGCCTTGAGCATTGTGCGTTTTAAAGATCTGTCTCTTCTTTATTGTTGCTAAGTGCCAGTCATCATATCAACCCTGTATAGGGTTTGGAGCAACTCATGGGTTTGAACTGCTGATCTTATGATTCCCAGTCCAGTCCTACAATGCCACACCAGAAGATCTACGTATATGGGATCAAATTGACAACAGCAACTCAAAAGATAAGAATACTAGGGGCTAGTGAGTTGATGACAGTGTGTGAGGAGCTACTTGGAAAAGGAGGGTGACAATGATTGCAGAAATTGAAGAATGTCATCAGTATCGCTGAATTGTACTTGTAAAAACAGTCGAATTGGTGTGTGTTCTGCTGTGTATATTCTCAATGACAATAAAAATTAAGTAAATTATACATATAGAGTCTTGGTGTGGCACTGTGGGCTAATGCACTTGACTGAAAAGTAAGTTTGAACTGCAAGGGCGGCAGTTCAAGCTCACCAAACGCTCCTGAGAGAAACCCTATGCAGATTCATTCTGGGTCAAAACTGACTCAACAACACTTAACAGTTGTTGTTGTTGTTAAGTGCCGATGAGTTGGTTCTGATCCATAGCGACCCTGTATAGGGTTTCCAAGAAACAGCTAATGAGCTTGAACCGCCGACCTTGCAGTTCAAACGGCTTTGCAGTCTGGTGCATTAACCCACAGCGCCATGCCAGAACTCCCTTAACAGCAATATATATGTGTATCGACTCGACGGCACTTAGCAACAATATATGTATATATAAGGAGCTCTGGTAGCGTAGTGGTTACGAATCGGGCTGCGAACCTTAAGGTCAGCGGTTCGAAACTACCAGCCGCTCCACGGGAGAAAGATGAGGCTTTCTACTCCCGTAAAGATTTACACCCTCGGAAACCCTGTACAGGGTCACTATGGGTCGGAACCGACTCGACGGCACTTAACAACAACAATATGTGTATATATATGTATGTATATGTATGTATATATATATAAATATATGTATATGGGCAGATATTGTGCAGGTCTTCATAGGTGTAGTACAGATTGTAGCAAAGGAACTCCCCTACCCCCACAGAAGCCCAGATCAAAGCAAACCTATTCCAAGATAACCTCTGCTGACAACTAGGGCTGCACAGAAACCAATCTGAAAACCATTAGCACTGTGGAAAGAGTGGTGGGCTGGGTTGGGAGAATTGGGACTGAGTCCTGACTCTGCCAATAACTTGCTGTTTAACCTTGGATACCTCCTTACCTTAGCTATCCTCTCTTCACTCATGTGAAAAGAGGAAGTTGAATTGCTTTATCCCAGCATCCCAACTAGATAGGATACTCTTAAGATTCTAATTCCAGGTGATTTTTTTTTTTTTTTTTTAAACTCATTAGAATGATCCAGAATGACTTTCTGCAGAGAGTTGCTATATTTGACAGGCTAGATAGAAAGTCTTGCCTCAAGGTAGTGAACTCACTGTTGTTGGGGGCATGCAAACACAATTGAGGGGAACATGAAGCAATGATGCCATTGGGAACCCTTATTTGTTGAGTATTTGTTTACTATGTGCCAAGTCCTGACTCACCTAATATTTCCAACCATTCAGATTTATTATGGCACCATTTTACAATGAGGACACTAAGCATCAGAGGGGTCAAGGGACTTGACCAAATTTGCATAGCATGAAAAAAGGTAGTGCTGGTATTCAAACCCTGATCTCCCTGGGTTGAAAGTCCTACTCTTCCATTGTATGAAGCAAGTCCCCAACTTCTGGATCTAGGTTGAATGTCTTAGGAGTGAGATCATATCACCCAGTTGTCTGTGCCCTGAGGCCAAATGTCATGGTTTTCAAAAAATCCCATCTGTCACCAGAGTTAAGGAGCCCTGATTCTGACCCACCAGCTACTCCACAGGAGAGAGGTCCTGGTGGTCTGCTCCCATAAAGATTACAGCCTAGAAAATTCTATGAAGCAGTTGTGTGCTCTCCTATAAGATGTCTGTTTTTAAATGCTGTTGTGTGTGTTCTGACTCATAGAGACCCTATAGGGGCTTTCCAAGGAGCAGCTGGTGATTTCGAACTACTGACCTGGTGGTTAGTAGTCCAGTGCTTATCCTCTGCGCCACACCAGGACTCCATAGAGTGTCTGTGAGTTGGAATTGACTCGACGGCACACAACAACATCAGTTTAGCTAGAGTGGTCAGCACGTTTGAGCAGGTGCCAGTTGAGCTGAGATCTGAAGCAGGAGCCAGCCATGGGGAGAGTAAAAATGAGGAAAGCATGTTTTAGATAGAGGGAAGAGCAGGTGTAACGATCTTAGGAGAAAAGGAAACTTAGAGAATTTGAGGGACTGGCTGAAGGCCACAGAAACTGGGGCCTGAGTAACTGAGGTGGGGGCAGCCCAAGATGAGGAGGCCAAGGTGGACAGGGACTCTGAGGGCCTGGTTCAGGATTCTGGTTTCACTCCAGGGCTGGAAAGATGTTTTCTTACTAAAGGCTCCCTAACAGCTGAGTAAGGAGCCCTGCTGGTGTAGTAGGGTAAGTATTAGGCTCAAAACCAAAACCTAACTCACTACCACCCAGTCAATTCTAACTCCTAGCAACACTGTAGAGGCTTTCCAAGGCTATAGATCTTTAGTGGAACAGATGGCCTCATCTTTCTTTCTGTTCAAACCCACCAGCCACCCCATGGGAGAAAGATCAGGCTGTCTGTTCGCGTAAAAATTTCCAGTCTCAGAAACCTTAAGGAACAGTTAGTTGTATTCTGTCCCACAGGGTCACTGTGAGTTGGAACCAACTGGGTTGTAAATGAGAGGAGTGAAAGCTAGGAAACCAGTCAGGAGACATCGTGGTCACTGTTCTGGTGCCCGTGGGCAACCTCCTTCCCTCTCTAAGCCTGTTTCCTCATACGTTTATGATTATGAGAATGAAATATGGGAATAAATAGAAAGGCAGTTTAAAAAGCTGAAAAATACGTGTCAAATGAAGGCAATTCTTTGTCACCTTAGAAGTGAAAGGTCCTTTAGGAAGACAGTGGGATTAGGTTTTCCAGGGTTCCTGGGTGGTAGGAAGCATGTGGGTTGCCCAGAGTCCCTACCTGAGAACCCCACATCCAGGAGTGCCTGCTTTTCCAGGCCAGGGTCACAGGGGCCCTGAGAGGCCTCAGGGACTGGGGAGGGGATGCTTGCTGAAGGAATGTGGGAGTTCCGGAAAATTGCTTTCCTGGGTTTCTGACTTGCCCCAAAGCAGTGATGTGTTTGGTGGGAAGGTCACACCATAAAGTCTGGAAGCAATACCCTGCACCCCCAGAGTGCTCTCACTTAGCACTTTCCACTGTGTCAGGGGAGTTCTCTGGAATTCACTCATGGACTCTGACTTAGAGACCCAGAGCCAAAGGAAGGAGCCATGAATGGAGAGACCCTACCTTTTTTTTTTTTCTTTAAAAACTTTCTAGTTCTGACGGGAGACTCCCTTTCGGTACCTCAGGCACCACAGCAGAGGAACCACTCTCTCTGACCTGATGAATCATGTGGAGGGCATCTTCCTAATTCTTGACTCCGTGGATCTGCCATTGGGGACCCCCTTATTGAAGTGGCACTTGAAGTTTCTCATTAGAAAGAAGGGGTCATTCGGAGCCTCTTTCTCACCCTCTAGGAGTCTCTCAAGGGGGGCTCCTTTCCTGACCTCATGGGAGAGCAGCACCCTTCACCATCCCCGCCCCCACAGGGGTGGGATCTCCCCAGTTAGGGAGGGGACAAGGGAGGGAGCAGAAGCAGCCCTCAGAGCAGGCCCCGCCCACCAGAGCTGCGTGCTGCCTGCCCCGCCTGGGCCCGGCCCCCACGGCCCGGCCCTCCTGGCTAGCCCAGCGCGACAGTGGCGGCAGGGACCAGGGTGCCACCGGCGGGCGCAGCATGTGGAGCGTGTGGCCGCCGTACCCGGTGGCCGCTGCACTATCGGCATTGGGGGTGAGGCGTAGCGTTGCATAAGTGCGGGAGGAGATCTGGGGGACTAGAACCCCTTCCAACGCCGTGGGCTGGTCTCGGGTATCCTGGTTGGGGCTTGGTGGCACTCGGGCCGCTTCCCCATTCGCGTGCAAGAGCCATGGAGGCTCTGAGGGAGTCTGTGCTGCATTTGGCCTTGCAGATGTCGACCTACAAGCGGGCCACGTTGGATGAAGAGGACCTGGTGGACTCGCTCTCCGAAGGCGACGTATACCCCAATGGCCTGCAGGTAAGGAGCTCAGTCTCTCTGACCCTCCCTCCCTGGGCATGCTCGATGCCCTCTTTGCCGGTTTGGTAGGGGGCTGTGCCAAGCTGCAGGTAGCTCTGAGAAACACACTTCCTGACTAATAGGGGGAGAATCCAAACCTTCCTGGAGCAGGAATGTCCAAGTGGCATTGTACTCCCTCCACCAGCCCCTCTTGGTCAGCTCTGCCTGTCATCAAATCCTCTGGACCACTTGAAGCACCCCAAATGTGACCTGGTCCAGTTCCCTTTTCACTAAAGAGGCAGTTTCAGAGTGGCGGAGGGACTCGCCAAGGGCCACTGGTGGAGTCTAAAACGTTTCCAGTTTTAGCATGGAAAGCCCTGTGCCCCTGGAACCCCTTTCAGTTGTGGACAAACAGGAATGGTTAGTCACCTCTGGTAACCATTACACATTCTTCCTCATTTCCCCCAAATACCTGAATTTCCTGAGGGGGGAGGAACCTGTCCTCTGCCCTCTCTCCTGCCCCTTTTCTGCCTACTCAGGAAGTTCTGCCCCTGTGAAAATCTCATCCGCCCACCCTTGGGGAGGGAGGCTTCACCCATCCCCTGCATGGGGCAGAGCGGTGAGTGAGCCCACTTTCTATCCTCCTCTCCTTTCCCTGCGGGGCTGGGCTGGGACAGTCATGACCAGATCCTTAGCCCGGCTGGAGTTTGGAGCTAGACTGATGGATGGAAGGGAATTGGCAATGTCAGAGTCATCCAAAGGGGCCCTGAGACAGGGTTCCTGAGAAAGTACCACAGAGAGCAGTGAGCATCTCAGTCCAGGAGGACTTCTGCCAGATTGGCCAAGGGAAGCATCAGGGAGAGTCCTGGGGCCACGCGGGGAACTCACATTAAATCACAACTCATCCTGAGGGCAGGCGTTCGGTAAGTGGAGACAGGCTACCAGGCCTGACCCAATTCAGACGAATGTCACAGAAGCTGGAATGTTAATACCAATAGAAGGAAATGACATTGATTGAGTCCCTCCACCAGGATAGTGAATTAGGCTCAGGGAGATCTGAACTCAGAACCTCCATTGCTGTACCCACTGAAATATGGCAGCACCCTTTATTTTGTATCAGGAGCCCAGGTGGGGCAGTGGTTAAGCAATCTGCTTTTAACTGAAAGGTCAGAGGTTCAAACCCACCAGCAGCCTTATGGGCAAAAAACCCTAGCAATATGCTCCCATGACGATTGTTGTGGTTGTTAAGTACCTTCGAGTCCATTCTGACTCATAGTGAGTCAGAACTATATAGGATTCCCAAGGCTTTAAATCTTTACAAGAGCAGAAAGCTTTATCTTACTCCTGTGGAATGGCTGGCAGACTCTAACCTTGTGTCCAGTGCTAATTGTATGGAGCTGCTGCGCTTCTTCCATAATGATTACAGCCTGAGAAAACCCTACAGGGCAATTCTACTCAGTTTCCCATTGGGAGCATTATGAGTTGGAATCAACTCCACACCGTACAGCAGCAGCCTCTATCAGCCATTTCATTTAATGGTCAAGACCACCCTCATGAGCTGTGGGGATTAACTTCCCCACTTACATATAAAGAAACTGAGACTCAGAGAGCAGAAATGACTTGTCTTACGTCACAGAGCTGAAAACCAAGAGTGAGAACTCAAGCCCAGGTCTGCCTAGAACCTCTTCCCTGTAGGCCCTTCTTAAGAGGCTCAAGGCAGCAGGAAAGTGGATTTCTGTGGCAGGCTCTTTCCCTTTACAAATCAAAACAATCTAATCAGCAATCTTTCTCAGTCTCATCTTCCACAGAAGGTTCTAAATATATCAGCACGAAAGCATTTTGGAATTCACAACAAAAATATGCCATGTTGGTGGTGTTGTCATCATCATTTTAGCAGCCCACATGGTCGTAGCCTTTAGCGGATCACCAACTGTTCATCCACACAAGACCGCAGGTGGCTCCAAGGAGCCCTGTCTCTGAAGCTGGGGACCTAGGTTTGAATTTTGACTCCACCTTGGGTGAGCCACTTAATCTCTTTAAGCTGTAATTTCCTCATCTGTGAAATGGGGATTAGAGAAAGTGGATGCCAAACACACAGCATGGGGCCTGCTAGGATTATTTTGTTGTTTTTATGACCTATGAGGTAAAGGTTGCTGTTCCCACATTACAGATGATGAAGCTGAGTTTCAGAGAGAGGGAAATTCCTGTGGTCACACAGCTATCGTGTGGGTTGGAGTTCAGTGTTGATTGCCTTGCACCAAGCTGCAGAACTGGGCACATCTTCAGCTTTTCATGCAGGAAAAGCCAAAAAGATTTTCTCAAGGATTTGGGTACCCCATTTCTGCAGGTACCCAACCTGGCTTGCCTTGGCCCCTTCCCAACTTCCCCAAAGTAAACTTGAAACTGCTCATATCTTGAAATAAGCTAAGAATCAAGAACCTGCTCACCTCAATTTGCATAAGCAGTTTTCTACTAATTTTATGTTTCTCTTCTATTGTTTTTTTTTCCTGAATCTAAAACCTTTATATGCTCATTTGTGAAAGAAAAAAATACTGAGTAAAATAGAAAAAAGAGATTTAAGAAAAAAACAGTGAGCCCACCATCTGGAGGTCACGTTTTAAAATGTTTACTTGTAGCGTTTTATACGTGTATATATATTTTTAAACACTGTTCATCTCACTCTAAATGCATGATGTTATGCCTTGCTTTCTTCACAAAATGCCACTTCATGCAACTTTTTCTATGTGGTTGAAAATGTTTGAAACATGTTGCCATTAAAGATCATAACTTAACCTTATGGTGCCCATTTAAAAATTATAATTATTCAATCTGCTATAGTTGGTCAAATTGGCCAATTGTACCCAAATGTCCTGAGAGGGAAGAACCTGTCCTTGGTTTTCTCACTTCCTGATCCTTTTCAGTCTAAGCAGGAAGCCTAATCCCACCCTTCCCTAAGGTCTGCCCCTGTGGGAATCTCAAATGCCTCATCACTTTCCCAGAATGGTGAGTGAGGCCACTTTCTGCTCTCCTTTCCATGTGGCACTGGCCTGGGATAGTCCTGATCCAGCACCTCAGCTTGGTTGCCATTCAAACCCAACAGGTAGGCAAGAGGGAGATAGGAATGTCAGGGACATGCAAGGGGCTCCTGAGAAGTACTGTGGGTAACCACCTGTGTTAGCTTTTCAGGTCATTTCCTATGAACTGGTTGCTAGAACACACAATTATCCTCAATTTTTTACTTTTAAAAATTAGCCGCCTATTCTAAATCTCTTTCCCTTTAGCAGGCAGGTATAGAAATAACCTATTTGATTTTTAAATTTGTAAAGCCCAGCGGTTCTAGAAACTCCAAAGTGAATCACATCTGGACTGCAGAGTGTCCTATCAAACAACAACTTACAACTTTGATTTCAACTTAAAATTTTCACACTGAATGTATTAGCAAACGATATCAACTTTAGCTAGAGAAACAAAATTTAGAGCTATGTTCTACCTTGGTCTCACTTGAAAGAACTTTTCTTCTTTGCTTTATTTCATGTTTTAGGTACAAATTCCGTGCCACCCACTAAAATTACTGACTGAAGGACCAACCATAGGCATAAACTTTCAAGCCAGGCAGCAGCGCTAACTTGGAGCCCCACCCAGCTCCCGATATCCCTCCTAGACTTGGAGACCTGAAAGCACCTCAAGCAATTTCCTTTGTAAAATGGGATTAACATTTCTTAGCCCACCTAGTGTAGCACTGTAGAATCAGCACTGGACTGCAGATCACAAGATCGGCAGTTCAAACCCACCAGCTGCTCCTCGGAAACCCTATGCAAGGGACTTTATGAGTCAGAACTGACTCAACACACTTAACAACATCAAAGCTGTTCAAAGACGATCATGTATGCATGAAAGTATTTTCTATAGCATTTAGAAAGCAGATGTGTTTGTTATTAGACTTATTAATGAAACCTACCAGGCATGATATCTTATTGATACTCTAAATTATAGCCTCTTTCTCCAAAGCTTCTGCTCTGCTAAACCTGGCTGCCTGGTCCCCCTGCCCCCAGCACACACCGTTTCAACAACTCAAAGGCAAATAAACTTAGATGATGTCACATTCGCATCACAAACTGAGGAAAAGAGGGCCACAACTGTTTACCTAAAGCCTTTGCCATTCATCTAGTTACTTTGTTTTTTTAAGTTTTTATTGTGAATTGAGTGATAGTTTACATGGGAGAACATTGGTTTTACACTCATTGTTTCATCGCAATGATTACAGTCTACTCCATGCATCATCATTCAGCAGGATTTGCTTCTATTCTGTCTGTTTTCTGTTTTGTTTTTTAAATTTTTTGTCGAGGGGGCAGGGGGACGTACACAGAAACACTCAGGAATATATAATCATTTAAACAACCAAAGGGCACATTCTGCAAGCCTGCCTCCTGGCCACCAGTACACAGCCTTTCTCTTTCCATGAATCTAGAGTCCTCAGCTGCTCTATCTCTCAATGTAAGACATGTTTTTTGTTTTTAAGAAAAAGAAAAGCTGAGGTCTTAATTTTTAATGTTTTCCTGTTTTCCTCTGCAGGTACAGGGCTGCTTCTCATAGGTGATTTCAGGGTATGTCCTACCCAGCACTTTAAAAAAACAAACAAACTTCTTTGCTTACCAGGAGGTTCTTTCAGCTCCATCCACCTGTGTGAGCACATGATACTCCTGGCTGGAAGCTATTCTAGAACTGGAGGTGGTCAAACCTGGGACTTCATCCAGCTTCCTGATTTTAGAGATGGGGGACTGAGGCCCAGATGGGGCTGCAGCTGGTGAAGCTTTAGGTCATTACCAATAGTTGGAAGAGAGTCAGACATGAGGGCAGGGAACAGGTAGAGCTCTGGCAGGAGGACATTAAAGTTTTGCCCTCAAGTGGCCCCAGTGACCTCAACCGGAAGTCCACCTCATAGAAATGGTATTGGAAGAAATGTCCCCAAGTGGACACCCTCAAGAGGCAGGGTGCCTCATTGAGCAAGCTGTCATGGTCTG